GTACCAGGAAATGACCATTCTACTCTGAAGAATAGTTTTGTGCTACTGGAACAAGTATAGTCTCCTGACTGTCAGTGGACTTAAATAGATAAAAATGAGATGGCTAAGGAGTTTATGACTTTAAAGCTTTCTGTCATGTAAGCCACGATTTCATGAGACCCTTGTAAAAAGTATCTATCACTGTGCACTATGATTACAAGCTTGCATTTGAAATCTTGTTACACAGTTTTTCCAGAATCTGAACTGTGATATTTTCCGCGGCAAATTACAATGCTTGGTAGTATTACTCCTACCTGATTTCCAACTTAGCATCTCTTATGAATCTGCTATCACTATATGGGGCATGTTATGTATTAGTTAATTATGTGAACTTAACTGCAAAGCTGCAAACCATCAGTAACTGTTAAACAACTCGGTTGTGTGTGTATGTATGTGTGTGTGTGTGTGTGTCTATGGTAGCATGTAATTTATATAATTTATTGACTAAACTGTAGTGGAGAGATATTTAAAATGATTATAGTCTGCTTGTTATTAAGACTTATCTTGTTTGTTAATGGGTTCACCTGACAATTTCAAGAGTTACTTTCTTTGTTCTCTATTAATAATTTTAATATTCTGTGTGAAATTTGATAAAAAAGATAGAGAATGAAAATTTTATTAGTTGTATCTAAAGGACATTTTCGCTCACCAGTCTACCCTAATGTGTAGTACTCAGTAATCTTAATTTTTTTTGAATTTTTAGAAAAAATTCACATATAAAGTAAACTTGATTAAGTCCACATTATGTTTTTTTAGCTATTTATAATATCAAATAGCTGTCCAGATGCCAAAGAAGCTTTATTAGAGGAACTAAATAAGCTAAATATTAATGGAGAGTTAGGAGCCAATGGTATGGAAAGTTGTGGTAATAGTGTGATCACATTATTTAGACAAGGCCATGGTCAAAGTGGAAGTTCTCTCCTCCCTTCAGAGAAAGGTACCTCCTTCTTTGATGACCCATTCTTTCCACTGGGATCTCACTCGTGGAGATCTTTCATTTAGGTATTTATTTTTTTTTTTTTCCCAAGAGTTCTTGCTTTCCATGCCTGAAATACTCTCATGGGCATTTCAGCCGGATCCGCATGCCTTAAGGGCTGATTATGAGGCCAGAGTGCTGTTAGGACATTTGCCATTCTATGGGTCTGCTGTGTATCTCACTTCCCACGTTGGATCATTCTCTCCCTTTTTGATTCTATCAGCTAGTATTTGCAGACACTAGTCTTGTTTATGTGATCCCTTTGGTTCTTAGTCCTATCATTACGATCAATTGTGAACAGAAATTATTGAATAGGCTGTAGGAATTGACAGCCTATGGGAGCATGGAAATGGCATCATTGCCATTACAACTAGACGGATCAAGAGAGAGGACGTAGAATGAATTGTGTCAGTATTTCTACGTGTGAGAAAATATTGCTTACTCTATTTCTATACATCTCTTATGTACTGTCCCCCACCCTCACCATTCTCTTCACCCCATTCTTTCCTAGCTTACGTAGTCATCTTATTTCTGGTAGACTCACAAGTATGTAAAATCTATGGAGATTACACAATCCTAACCTAGGAATTCCTGGCTACCAAAACCCCAACAGAAATGCTAACTTCAAAGAAGAGTCCTCAGAAAACTAGATGATGAAATTCTGGAGTCTAAGGTTACGTGAACTCATTACATGAGGTTGCAAATCTCATGAGTTTTACACTGTTAATGACTTTATTTTAATCAAGAAAGAAATTTTTTTAGATGGGCTCAATTCAGAAAATTTTGCATGATACTAGTTTTAAATATTTGAAAATATTGTTCTGCCTTTTGGTGGTTGGCCAGAACTGAAAATCTGTGTGGAAATGATCTTGAGAAACTAAGCATACTATTACTATCCTGACATATTGAACATTTACATATTATATAATTTACTTTTCAAAACAATGATATTTAGACCTACTTCTTAGATAAGAAAACAGACTGAATATTTTAAACAAATGGAATAGAACTGAATAGGGACTAGATCTGCTTTTCTCTGAAATGCATGAAATGTATATCATCTGATTATGCACTTGAAAAGAGAGAGAGCATAGCCATGTAATTGTTGGAACAAAAATCTCAAAGATCCGTCCTGGTAGATGAACATGGAATTCCCCACCCTGTCTTGATTTTTGGCATATTGAACAAATTTTTTGTGTATCACATTTTATTTCAAAATGTACTTATTTATATATTTGAAAGACAGAGTGATGGAGAAAAAGGGAGAGACAGAGAAAAAAATCTTCCATCAACCTGTTTACTCCCCAAATAGCTTTAACAGATGGGGGGGGTAGGCCAGGACAAAGTTCGGAGCCTGAAATTCCACCTGTGTACCCTACCTGGGTTCAGGGCCCCAAAGACTTGGGCCGTGTTCTGCTGCTCTCATAGGCGCATTAGCAGGGATCTGAGATGGAAGTGGAACAGCTGGAGCATGCACTGGTGCCCATATGCTATGCAGGTGGTTGGTTAACCTGCTGTGCCACAATGCCAGCTTCACAATTAGCATTTTTTGGGCCATCTGGGAACACACAAAAAGGACATCAACCCAGACTGGGTTCAAGAAGAATTTCTGCATATATGTTTGTCAGGTAAAGAAAACATGAGTAAGTTCTCTTAGCTAGTACAAAATTTACAAGATATTTTAAGAATATCACCTAAGAACTTTTCTAGGCATCTCAATGGACCAACACACAGAGAGAGAATTAGTATATGTGCATGACCCTTTATTAGCATTGCATATGATTCAGTATAACTGAGTGTATATGTAAGTTTTGTGGAGCTGCACATTGAAGTTTTTGGTGTTTATATTTTGATTTTTTTTGGTTGACTTAAGAATGGAACTTCTTTATACTACTTTCATTTTCACTTCCCATATGCCATAATTGGGCTCATAGATAATGGGTGTTTATAATTGTTATTGAATTATATTAGGTGCCCAGGGAAAATTCCAAGTTTGTCATAATGAGTGAAGATTGATAGGTATGTTGCTTTTCTTTTCTATTTATTTATAGAGTTACAGATAGTGAGAGAGAGAGAGACAGAGAAAGGTCTTCCCTCCGTTGGCTCATTCCCCAAATGGCTACAATGGCCGGAGCTGCGCCGAACTGAAGCCAGGAGTCAGATGCTTCCTCCTGGTCTCCCACATGGGTGCAGGGGCCCATGCACCTGGGCCATCCTCTACTGCCTTTCCAGGCCCTTAGCAGAGAGTCGGACTGGAAGTGGAGCAGCCGGAACCAGAATCGGTGCCCACATGGTATGCTGGCACCACAGGCGGAGGATTAACCCACTGTGCCATGGTGCTGGCCCTGGTATGTTGCTTTTCTTATGGGCAAGTGAGAATGTGGTGCTCATAGTTTGATTAGCCATAATTAAATTTCAAGTTGGTTTTGGTAAAGTATGCAGCATGGTGTATATATTAAAGTATTTGGTTGTACTAGCAAAAGAACTGTCTTCTGCAACAAATTGTAACCTGCACTTTCAATCAGAGGCTGAAGGCATTATAAAGATGGAATGGATCTTCCATAATAAATGATCCAGCTCACTCATTACATATTAGGAAACAGACCCAGAGAGAGAATAAATGAGGCTAGAACTTTGAATTGTGATGGGGAAATTTTTTAAGTCATGTGCGCTTTTATCTCTAATATTTTTGAGTATAACTACTATAGCTGTTTACTACTTATGCTGTTTATATAGCTTATATGATCAATTTCTACAGTAACTGGCAAACATAGTACATAGAATATTTTCAAATTGAAAACTAAGGTAATATGAAGAGAGGATATTTGACACTTTGAGATATTTAGAGCGACACATTTTTTAACTAATCTGAGCAAAGCTAAAATTAAGAAATTATGGAGACATAAAGTGGATTTTTTTATTCTAGATGTCTTATGGGAGACAAAACTTAAATAAATCATCTTAATTCTGTAATCTCCTTCCTCTCTCACAATTAATATTTAAAGATAAATCTTCAGTTTTTAGCTCAGTTTTGCTTTTTCAGTTTGTAGCTCAGCATTCACTATTAGAAAGGCAAAGCAAACATCAGTAGTCTGATAGGAAAAACTTGAGGCACCCCAATAGCGCATTGAATGGTTTCTTTACAGTCTCTCAGTTAATATGTAGTACAACTGATAGTAGACCTCAGAGACTCAGTCCTACAGACTGACATTCTTTTCACTCAGAAGAAAAGAACAAGAGGAGGAGAGAGGGAAGAAGATAAAGGAAGAAAAGTAGGAAAGTGGAGGAGGAGGAAGTGTCATTTGCTCTCTTATCTGTAAAAAAATGGGCAGCAGTCGTATGTTATTTTTTTTTCAATCTTCATAATACTCTTCTGAAATACTTGTTATTCCATTTTATAGTTGAAGAAACAAGACATTACATCCCTTGCCTACAGTCACACAGCAAGTTTTAGGACTCTAAAACTTGTCCATACTATTACACAGAACTGATTCTGATATTGTTCCTCATTTTCTTAATTATTTGAAAAATAGATAGTATATAATTTAAATTTTATTTTATTTCTCTAAGAAGATACTAGGAAACAGAATGCTGGATCTGAAACATGGTATGCTGGTAGTATTGACAATCCTATGTTTCTAGAGCAAAGTGAAAGTAGGCAGTTAAAAGTTAATATCAAAACTTAAACAATGCCATGTTTTGTGAAGTACACTTTAATAGCAGCCCATTGGATCAAAGGATGTGATCTCACTTCATAGTAAAACAGGTCTTGCAAGCCAGGTAACTCAGGAAGCAGAATGGTAATTATTCACAGAGGAAAACAGGTAGTATACTGTTACAATACTACAGTAGAAAGTCAGAAGGTCACAAAGCTTGCAAGGTAACTGACACAACTTGAAACTGCTTGGCTCCCTTTAAAAAGAAATAACAAAATGGGAGAGAATGAAACAAGTCTACCTAATACATCTTTGCAAGGTAAGTGCCAACAGTCTCTGGAACAATCAGAAATTTCAACAGTGTTGATTACTGTGTGTGTGTTTGTGTGTGTGCACGTGTGCGCTCACACATGTGTGTGTTGCTGTCCTCCCCCAGCCTGTTCTTTGGGGGTGGCAAAAAGAAATAAGGATTGTTGTTTTCAAAGCAGCATGTTGTCTGTGTTTTATCAACACTCTGACCAATGAGAAATCACAAATTTAGTTTCCACAGAGAAAACTTGATCCTTAATATCCAATGTAATGCTGGAGAATTGGTGTAACCAGCTTCCAGTCCATTTTCATGTGGAACCTTTCCAGAATTGACAGAATATTGACTTTTATGGCATTCGTATTTGTAATTCAGTTTTTCCATCTCTGGGAGTTACCAGCAAAGTGGTCTGATAAATAGGATCACCACTCTTTAAAGGGGTGGGGGACCAGGATCTCTGGGCAGATCTTCTCAGTTGGTGAGCCCTATTTATTTTACAAGCCTTATTTAATCAGATACCTTTGTCCTTTAGAGGGATTGGCTTTGTTGACATTGGCTTGACCAGGCATCTGTAGTTAAGCTTGTTGGAAACAAATACAAAGTAGCTCACACATTTCACATTTTTGAATGAGAAAAATCTCTTTCTTAAAGGAAAATAAGGGAAAATGGGGTGTAAGACTTATTTGTTGCACTGAATTCTACTTGTAGATTACTGCCAGCTTTATAAATGAAGTTTTGCTAAAAGCATATTTTTTAAATCTCCTTGACAATTAATTTAATACTGCTATATCCTTGTTTAACTTTTTCCTTATAAAGCCACAAATAATGAGTCATCAAAAAAATCTCTAAACCACCTAGTTTTTCATTAAGTGCATATAATCAAACATGCAGCTATAGTACAGCACATATGAGAATATCCATAGGATAATAATTGCCATTCCTGTTTATAAAAGTGTACCATTCATGTTATGCTTAAATCATTGTATTCTTTTCCTTTGGGTTCTTTACTCCTTTTTCTATTAAACTTGCTTAAGAATCCCAAAATACTATTTTTTTGTATCTCTGTATGTTTCCTAACATAAATGCTGTAAAATACTATTATAAAGCATTTTTTACTTAAAAGATGAATAAGTCATTTAATGAGTTCTACTAAAGAGAAACAACACAATAAAATACTCATTATCATTTTATATTTAGGGAGCAACATGCTATTATGTACATGATTATAATATATAACTTAATTTTCTCTAATATTGTTTTTGGAATGCATATGGGGAGCATCTAGCTGTTAGAGTGACCTATCTTGAACACAGGTGCATTGCCTATCTTTTTCAGAGGTTGAAGTAAAATAAAGAGTAAACAGGCCTCTTCTCTCTTCCCTTATCATCCTTCTCTGTGTTGGGATCATGGGTAGTATTTACTCTTTATATTAGAATCTAAGAATGTGTATAGATTTTGGTTTGTTCTTTTTCTCTGGTGCCTTTATGTTGCTTATGTTTCTAGCAATCTGTATAGTTTACCGTATAAGCATAGGTTTCCCTCCTATCCGTAGATATGTATAAAATACAATTACCTTAAAATTAGTTATCAGTATATATCAGAAAGCATGAACATAATTTTAAAAATCTTAAAGATATTTGAATGCCTCATTGTTTAAATTAGAAGGCAATATGCCTAGATGTGTAAACATTTTGTAGTTGGGAGATACTTGTGACATTAGTTCTATCCTTGTGTATTTTCCTTTTTGCAGTCCAGATTTATCAAGGGATATGTTGTACTCTTCTGATCTTGTCTGAATTCAAATGTGTCCTTGGTAGGTCTGCAGATAGTTCAGACATGGCTTCTATGAGTTTTTAAATGCTCCCACTCAAGATGAATTTGCATTAAGATTATTAAGTAAAACTATTAATCAGATGAGAGTTAATGAGAAATGGAAGTATTCAGTTATTTGTTTTAAATTATTTCTGAATTTCTTTAAATATAAAGGAAGCACTGTGGTGATACTTTTCAGCTTTGTATGTGTGAAGGTAAGAGATTTTGATAAGTTTAATATCTTATAATACAGATCAGATACATCTTGGGGCCTTCATTTTTAGACTTCCCTAACCATGTTGTGTTCTTTATGTAATACCCTGTCTTGTATCTGAAATTGAGTTCAGAATGTTCAAAATAAGTGTGTCGCTCCCCCTCTTCGTGGAGGAACGACACTAAACCCTGCCTAGGCTTCATATCCGAGTCACGGCACCATTATGTCGCTCCCCGTCTTCGTGGAGGAACGACACAGGACCCTGTGCTGTTCTTTCGTCTGCTCGGCCCTCCCCGGGTTTGCTGCTGGTTCTTCCCGGGTTGGCTACTATCCCTTCCACCTCCGTGGAAGGGCAGTTCCCCCTGGCCACATTCCCCACTTCCGCAGGGGAGCGGCACACCACCGGCCGGCTTTCTCGGGGGCTGCACGGGTGTTCCTTCAGCTAGATGTTCCCCATAGATGTTCCCGGTGCATGCCGTCTCTCTCCTCCTTTATAGTCCTCCTCCGCCAATCCCAACTCGGCTGCCCACACGCCGAGTACGCTGCTCTCCTCCAATCAGTAGCAAGTCCTACAGTTTATTGGTTGAACTGGAGGCAGCTGTGCGGAAGCTGTTTACTTCTCTCCCAGCGCCATATTGTGGGAGAGCAAATGCATAGAATAAGTCTTAATTCCAGTAACTCAGTCTAGTCCGGTTTGCTCCCCACAAAGTGAAAAGGATATTTTCAAATGTTTAGCTTTGCTTTGACTTAGTATTTATAAAAAGATTCTGAAGTTCTTTGAAATAATAGAAATTATTACCAACTCTGTTTTGAAATGGATGCTCTCTAGAAGAAATACCTATGTCCAGATGTTTTGTTTTGTGCATTAAACATATGGATGGTTTATATGATTAAGCTAGGAGTATACTATCATTATATTATCATAGATTATCATTGGAACTCCATCCTGTGCTTTGAATAATGGTATCCTGTCGCTCCCCCTCTTCGTGGAGGAACGACACAGGACCCTGCGCTGTTCTTTCGTCTGCTCGGCCCTCCCCGGGTTTGCTGCTGGTTCTTCCCGGGTTGGCTACTATCCCTTCCACCTCCGTGGAAGGGCAGTTCCCCCTGGCCGCATTCCCCACTTCCGCAGGGGAGCGGCACACCGCCGGCCGGCTTTCTCGGGGGCTGCACGAGTTCCCTTAGATGTTCCCCATAGATGTTCCTGGTGCATGCCGTTTCTCTCCTCCTTTATAGTCCTCCTCCGCCAATCCCAACTCGGCTGCCCACACGCCGAGTACGCTGCTCTCCTCCAATCAGGAGCAAGTCCTACAGTTTATTAGTTGAACTGGAGGCAGCTGTGCGGAAGCTGTTTACTTCTCTCCCAGCGCCATATTGTGGGAGAGCAGATGCATAGAATAAGTCCTAATTCCAGCAACTCAGTCTAGTCCGGTTTGCTCCCCACAGTATCCTAAGGCTATGTATCTAAGTTGTCTAGATTCACTGAACCACCTCTAATGACAATTTAGAAGGTGCTTTGTTATGAAAGTGTCCCACAAAATTCACATGTTGGAAATAATCCTCAATTCAACAGTGTTGGATAGTGGGGCATTTGGGGAAGTGTTTAGGCAATGAAGGCTCTGCCCTCAGGAAAGGATTTATGCTGCTGTAAAAAGGGCTTCCAGGAGACTGTTCTTGCTCTGTGCTGTTCTTCTGCCTGCCTTCAAGTGAGAATACAACATGAAAGCCCACAGATGACTGACACCTTAATCTTGAATTTCCAAGTGTCCAAAAGTGTGAAAAATTATTTTATCTTTCTTATAAATGTGTTGGTCTGTTATAGCATCACAAGGCAGACTAAAATAGAGGGCCAGCCAATCTTTGAAAATTATTCCTTCTAGTGCTATTTTTCATGTGGTGGGGAGCTGATTGCACATGCTTTGGAAGTGGAACCAGTATTTACTGTCGACATTTAAGGTTTCTGTGGTTTGGGAACCCACTTTTTCCTAATGCAAGTGGTTTTACCAAGTTATCTCAAGCTTAATGAGAACAGATCTTAATTATATTTCCAAACAAATAAACAATCCTATCTCTCTGGATCCTGATGTTAAAGTAACCCAACAGAGAATTTTATCAAGATATTATACTTGAAGTTCATAATAGTTTTGGAATTCATAAAATGGATTATTTAGTGTAGGACAGAATGCTAGGATTTTCTTTCTCATCTTTGGAACAAAAGTATGTCAAAATATAGCATAAGGAATAGGGATAATTGGGTTTTAATTATTTGTATCTGTTGTGGAAAGGAAGAATTGCTTCCTTGTATAATATCTGCAAACTCAAAGGTACCACCAAGTTGCATTCTGTCAGTCAATGATAAGAGTGGACGGCTATGATCAGCATGATGGAGAGACAGCAGCTCTATTCCTGAAAGACAAATCTCTGGGATATGTCTTAGACTAAAGTTTCTCCAAAAGCCATCCCTGGGCCAGTGCCGCGGCTCACTAGGCTAATCCTCCGCCTGCGGTGCCGGCACTTGGGGTTCTAGTCCCGGTTGGGGCAACGGATTCTGTCCCAGTTGCTTCTCTTCCAGTCCAGCTCTCTGCTGTGGCCTGGGAAGGCAGTGGAGGATGGCCCAGGTGTTTGGACCCTGCACCCTATGGGAGACCAGGAGGAAGCACCTGGATCCTGGCTTCAGATTGGCGCAGCGTGCCAGCCATAGCGGCCACTTGGGGGTGAACCAATGGAAAAGGAAAATCTTTCTCTCTGTCTCTCTCTCTCTCACTGCCTAACTCTGCCTGTCAAACAAACAAACAAAAACCTTCTCTACCAGGGAGGACAGCAGGCATTTTCTACTTCTCTAAGGACTCTTATAATATCTTGCAGATATTATACAAGGAAGCAATTCTTCCTTTCCACAACAGATACAAATAATTACGACTACCAGGGAGGACAGCAGGCATTTTCTACTTCTCTCAGGACTCTTATTAACCAGCATATTATATCCTACACAGAATTGTTGAAAAGGAAAAGAATCTACCACTCTCCAGCTATGACTGCCCCGTTGGAGTTTCTCCTACCTCAGGAACCCAGATCCCATGAACCTGTTCAATTTCTTTCACTCCTCCCTATCCTTGATCAAAACATGTTCAAGGCTACCTATCTCTTTTGTAAAGGTTACAATATTCAGTTCACCCTGGGGAGTATTTGAAAAAAGATATTTTTGATTTCAGTGCTTGAACAACCTGGTGAGATGAGGTCTCTTTGATTGAGGGGTCGTTCCCTGGACTCTTCAGTACATCCTACATACTCAGGCTGCCTACTTGTTAGCAGCTTCTGTGTTTTGAGCACTATAATATCAACTCTCCTTGTTACTTCAGTTCTTCTTATTTCTCAATATCTAGGAAACGATTACTACTCTTTCAAGCTAAAAGGCTACATCTCAGGGGGAAGAATATTCCAAACATGGAAAATGGGCTAGATTCTGCAGAATGCAGGGTCAACTCTAGATAGTAATCAGTGGGGAGAGGGAAATCTCCACCAATCCACTCGAGAATCTCACTGTCAGAATTACGGGAAAAAAATCTGTAGAACATTAACATTTTCTAGCTAAAGTGTCTCAAGAAACAGAGATTCTGTGAAATTAAGAAACTTGTCCCTGATTTCACAGAAGACGTTGCCAGAACACAGGTCTCCACCCTTGCTATCCAGAGTCTGTAATTTAACAAAAGAATTTGGCACATTAATTTCTAAAGGTATTTATTTTCCTACTTTAATTCTTACAAATGCTTTACTTATTGACTACATTTAGTTTCTATATTTATGGCTTCAAAGGCATTGTCTCATATTCAGTTAGGCTACTGTGGGACAGGTCTATCCAGGCTTGGGTTTTCTCCATAATACATAAAAGTTTTATTGGTTTTTAAACATTTAGTTAACTTTCATTACAGCTAGAAGTTGGATGAGAAATCCTTGGGCACCTGCGTGGAATGTTTCTTATGATTGAGTCATTGTTTTAAAAACTATATATATTGTATTTGGCTAGCCAAAAAAAAAAAAAAAAAATCTAGGCAGGAAGGTGCCTTACTGTCTGTGCTTCTAAGGTACAGCCCCAGGGTAGCAGTAGTATGTACCAGACTTGTTATACTGGTTTGGTGTGCATGTTTACTTTCTGTGGTGGGAAATATATCTCTGCATTCATCATCGTCAACTATGCCTGTGAGTGCCTTGAAATCTTTCTAAAACCCCAAAAGTTGACTAACAAGTTTGTACCTATTCCTTCTCAGTCTACAGAAAGTGAACAGCACTTTAAAGTAAGAGAAGTCCGAGGATCTCTGGTTTACCCTACCTGGGTTTCCAAAGCAAGGCATTTGGTATTTGTTCATTATAGGTTTGAACAGTTGAGGCATTTGGGAAACTGACATTCAGGTATGAAGGTAACAGGGTATTTTGGAGTTGAAACTCTCAGAAGCTTTACTGGAGAAGTATCATAATATAAGAACAAAATCAAGCATGTCTGGAGCAAGTAGAATTGCCAAAAATGTCAAGGCGTGGAAGCATGGGTGAGTCTGAATTAAATAAATGGGTTACACAAGGATATATGTGTTGGTGGTCTGAGGACTTTTCCATCAGGTAGCAGAGAATCTTTGGTGCTTATAATTGAGATTAGGAAATGAAATTTAAATTGAAGGAAATAGTTCGTGAAATTGATATAACTGAGCTGAAGAGCTTTTTCACCCCACCTGTGTCTTTTTAATTAGAAAAATGACTTGACTTTATTAAAAAAAATGCAGTATACTTAAATAGAACATTAGATAGAAGTGTTAATAACATGTTAGTTAAAACTGGCTGTTGGAGGAAAAGCCAATTCTGAAACACTTTGATATATAGTTTGTTCTTGAACTTTTACATGAACTGAAATCCACAGTTTAATCCTTTTGATATTTTATGGCCCTGAATTTGTTTCAAAGTGAGACGTTCTAAGTTTCAATCAAAGTCACTGTAAAATTTTCTTGAAAAGAAAATGTGATACATACCTACAGGGTGACATTATTGTTTAAGCACCATTATTAGTAATGCAATGAAAATATTTCCATGCATTCAAAAGGTTGGAGCTGTCTTTGAATCTGTTCCCTTTTCTTAAAGAAATGGAACAAGGAGTGCAGTAATAATCTGATGATTATATGTGTATAAGCACCATATAATTATTACATTGTATATTACTGTCTGGATTTTGGAAAGAGTTTAAACAAATTTAACTAATTGAATAGGACAGTAAGCCAACCCTATTTGTATCACAGTTTATTTTGGGAGCTTTATTAACCAAGCATGTACTTGACTTATTATTGGAAAGCATTACACTTGATACATAAGCGAAGAGAAAACAAGCATCTGACAAGATTGTGAATAAAATGTCATTAGAATGGGAAAACATAAAAGGGCATTGAGCTTCAGTTGATCCTTTGAGCTTCTAATCTCTCTTCAGGAAAAGTATGTGTAAGTAGTTATATTTGACAGGGCTATTTTGCTGCTATGTTGATAGATATGTTTAGCCACCTCCAGAGGTGAATACTTTGGAAAATGCTTTCATAAGTGCTTTCGGTGGTTTATATTGCAAAGCAATCTACCTCTCCTCCTTAAACCCCTGATCACTGTAATGTAGGTTGTATACTGTGTACTTAAAAAAAAAAAAAAGGCTGGGATTTACAGACTAGATATCCATTCCCATCTACTAAAAAATTACAAAAGAAAAATGCGTTGAAAATTCCACCACTGAATTTAATGCAATTCATAATAAACATGTAAGAAATATGAATGTATGCTGTTGCACACACAGTTGACTCTACTGTGTGACTTAAAACCTTCGTGAATGATTTATTTCAAGAACTGATTGAACTTTTGGAGTCCATTCCATCTCTGTTATTCCTGTGTTTTCTGAAAAGTGAGTTTCTTTCAAAATAGGCCATGAGAAGCAGATAGAATTGAAGGGTCACTGTGTTTTATTTTCCTCTGTGTTTATAAACCTTTAGTGGAATCACAGACAAGTCATATCTTCCATTAAACTATTGATACATCTTAACAGATTCTTCTCACTTTGGCATTTCTTAGTGGCAGCTTTTAGAATGGAGAAATGTATGTAGTCATGAAATATGCAAGTTGCTTCTAACTTGCCAATTTGTAGTATTGTTATAAACAAAGATAGGCATGTAAAAATAGTAATCTAAGAATGCATAGAGTTTCATAGGTGAAATATGACATGAATTGACTGTGGAAGAGTTTTAATGAATTATAATAAGTGGTCAGAAGAGGAAAATCTTTCCTGATCAAAAAATCCTCAAAGATAAGACAGACATTTTATATAAGCTTCCTCTTCAATATGGGCTTAACCTGCTATAACACAATGCTAGCCCCAATTTTTTATTCTTGAATCTGACTTCTCATTAATTTTAGGATCATATTTTATATTCATCCCAGTTTTCCACTTGACTCATATGAATTTCATGTGGGCAACATTTTTTTTTCTGTACTAGAAAACCCACAGTATTACTAATATTTGTAGGGATTAGTAATTATTTTATCAATTATTTTATCAAACTATAATCTAAAATAATTTTGGTATGTGTCTAATAAATGTTCTAGAAAAGTAGTCTTCATATGAAATTTTTGTTTCCCTAAATTGATTTTCTAGTAAATAGCTTATCTGCTTAATCATATAAATAAAAAGGAAAAGTAGTAAATTGGAGATTAATTTAAGACAAAATTTACTGAGCTTATTTGAGTATCACAACAGTCTTGATCATCTTTTTTCCATGGACAAAAAACTTGATCCTTTATTAAGAGCTTTATGTACTGGCTGTTCCTATTGAACTTCTATGATATGTTCCTTATCATTCAGATATCAGATTAGGTATTATCTAGGGGTGATAGTTTCTAGCTCCCACCCAAACCACCCTGTCAGCCAGTCTGGCTTAAATGTGGCTTTTTTTCTTTAAAAAAAAAAAATGAAAGACAGAGAGAGGCAGACAGAGGGAGAAACACTTAATAGTTCCTGTCCCAAATGCTTGCCAACAGTTGAGGTTGAGCCAGGCCAAAGCCAGGAGCCAGGAACTTTCCCTGGGTCGTCTATGTGGGTGGCAGGGTCCCAAGTACTTGAGCCACCTTCCACTGCCTTGGAGAGAGCGCTTAGCAGGAAGCAGCATTTGAAAAGTCGAAGTGGAACTCAATCTCAGGCATTCTGTATGGGATACAGGCATCCTAAGCTGTGCTTGACCCACTGCACTACAATGCCCACCACTTTTATTATTTTAATATCTCATCATGAGCCATTTTCCTTTCTCATACATTTATTTATTGTCTATTTCCCTGCAATAAAATGTCCTCTTACTGAGATGAAAGACCATGGTTGGCTTGTATATTGCTGTATTTCTAGTGCCTACAACCACAGCTAACACACACTATATTTTCAACAAATGCAAGTTTAATGTACTCCAAAAAAAACTAACATAAAATGCACATTATTCCTGTGTGTCTATGCAATTTACAGTTATTGTAACATGAAAATTAGTTGCATATAAGGTAGCAGCATTTAGCATGATCATACAAAAAAAATAAAACAAGAAGACTTAACTAAAATTCACGGAGAGCTCTTTCTAGGATAGTGGTGTTTGACAGAGAGTCTTTTTATCCTAAGAGGCTAGAAGCAGTGTATTTGTCATTGCTTCTAGGACTCCGTTGCCATTATTCTGGTTTTTGGTTACCTAGATGAGCTCTGAGAGATTTAAGTATGAAGAGGCAAGAGAAGAAATGGAATTGAAAGAGCAGAATTTAAATCAACAAACTTATGGAGGAATTAAAGCATGGTACTTGTTGGTTATAGGAGGCTAATTTGAAAAGAATCAAACATAATTGTAAGGTACTGAGTTTGATGGTTAGCTGTGCATTTAATATGATATCTAGTTCAGTGGTGAGAGGAAGAAGAGATTGTATATATTGTATTTGAGAAAAAAGGCATCTGAATATTACCTCTTATTATAAATGCATTATCAGTTATTCTAGACATGGGCATGGTTGTTGCCTTTAATGGAATTCTCAGTTTTATGGAAGATATAGTCATATTGATATTTATATTTGTATATATTAAGCATGCTTGTCATTGGGCGATTATTAAGATTTTATAAAATATTATATGTCAAATACTTGGAGTAGAATGGGGCATGTAGTATACACTTCTGTCAGTATAAGTACCACCATCATACTATTTGGCTTTTGAACTTCATGCTGATCCTCATCTTTCATCACATAATAATGAAAAGCCAAGTTCATCCGATGATGTTGGTACTTCCAGGCCAGCTCTCTGCTGTGGCCCGGGAGTGCAGTGGAGGATGGCCCAGGTGCTTGGGCCCTGCACCCCATGGGAGACCAGGAAAAGCACCTGGATCCTGGCTCCTGGCTCCTGCCATCGGATCAGCGCGGTGCGCCGGCCGCAGCGCGCCAGCTGCGGCGGCCATTGGAGAGTGAACCAACGGCAAAGGAAGACCTTTCTCTCTGTCTCTCTCTCTCTCTCTCACTGTCCACTCTGCCTGTCAAAAAAAACAAAAACAAACAAACAAAAAAAAAAAAACAAAAAAAAAAAAACAAAGGTATGAAAATGTGTGTGTGGGGTGTGTGTTAGTTTTTGCTTGTCTGAATTTAGCTAGAAATTATTTTTTTCTGAAATATTGAGGCTGACGTGTACCATACACAAAAGCCTTTTCTAGCCAGTTAACTTCAGGTTATATTCCACTGGACTATATCAGAACTAGAAGAAAATGTAAATTTTCTTATAAATCCATGTGGACTTAGAAAAACAATGGAGTGCCCATGCTTCCTTGCCAATAAGTTTTTATGTGTTTTTTTTTTTTTCTTATCTGTGTAACAGGAAAGCATCCATATCTAGCACATTGACCACAAAGTATGAAATAAACAACATAGGAGACTTTGGGATGACGAGGGTCCACTTTCAATTAATTCTGGTTGAAGAAAGCTAAATAAGGCTGGGATCCATGTGTGTGCACCTCAGGATCTTGTGGCTCCTGGATAGTTAGTGATTGGCTTCATAGTTTCTATAATTAATGTTATAATAATCACCAATAGTAACAGTAAAAACCAAGGAATGGAGTTAGAAATGCTAGTAAGGAGCAGAAGTAGGATTTAAAATAAGGTTTATTTGACTTTATTGCTTCTTGATCACTGTATTTCCCAGTATACCATTTTAAAAGAGATACCATTAAAATTGAATATTCAAGGAGAATATTTCAAATATTTACTAATATGTAAAATTAGTAACTGTTGAATTTCAATACTGAAGAAAATATTTTTCTACAGTCTGTTCTACAGCCAGTATGTCTGCATTTCTAAGGATATTGAATTTTACAAAAATTCATGTACCTTCATGTGTACAAATAATGTTTTCTGTTCAGGTGCATCATGATTCCTCTTGTCTTACCTACCTTCACATCCTTATTATATTTCCATCATACCTTTATTCCTGGCACTTTTATTGAAGGTAATAAAGCTTTGAAGA